CAGTCTCCCCCCCCCCCCACTCTCTGTGAGGCTTGGAGGGCTGGATGATATCCAGACATGAGCCACTTTAAACCACAGCCAGAACTCTTCCAAAGTAGGCGGGCACAGAGGGTTAATGCCACCTCACAACCATTGCCTGCACATCTTGTTCTCAAAAATGTTCACAATGGCCTTCTGTAAGCCAGATTCTCTCGACACACCATTAGCTAAACTTAAGAGGTTTATATATCAAGGTAGCAAAAGACTGAAGCAAAGGCTTTATAGCAGTGAAGCCGAAAGACAGCAGTCATCAAATCAAAGTACACACTGACAGGGTCTCATTGAAGGACCAGCCAAGTGCTGGACAGTAACATACCAGCCTAAGTTTGGATCAGTTTCTCAAAATGGTGAAATAAAGACACATTCGGTACACCACATGCACCTACAACTAGGGAGAAGGAAGAGAGCACATAAGAAAGATCAAAAGACAGCTTCGGCTGTAGCTGGACTGTTTATTTACAAAGCAACTCCATTACCTCCAAAATCTGGTCTCAGACGAATATCATAGCCTTTCAGGAGTCTATCCACCGTCTCTTTAACCAGCGACATATTACTAGGATCATTGACACTAAAGAAAGAAATGACAATACACAAGCATCAGTAAGGAAGCAGGCACAGCATCCTCAGCATTTCATCCTTACTACATTTTCCTGCTCTCAGAGGTATGCAGGCAGAACCCTTCAAAGTGAGGGAGGAAAAGAAGAAACGCCGGGTACACTCACCTCTGCGCACAGACAGCGGCGATGATCAAGGGAAATGACCAAATCCCAAAGTAGCCCCTTTTCCGCACTCTCCACATCCCTTTAGTTTTCGGTGTGATTGAGGGTTTCACTGAAGAGAGGAGATCGAACTTAGTCTGCCCAGTGCAGTAATTCTAATGTGAGGCGCATGCGCACGGCGGACCAAAACATCAAAGGGGAAGCGGCGGCTGCCGGAGACCAGGCAGATTTCCTTGTTTAAAAAAAAAAAAAAAAAAAAAAATTAAAGGGGAAAAAGGAAAAGCTTCTATATGTATAATATATACATCTCTGAATAATATAAAAAAGTCACCCCACAGGAGCATCCAGAGTAAATCTTTGTTGTTGCCCTTTGGTTAAGACAAAAAAACTACAGTGCCTGGTAAGTTTCGGTAGTTGCAGGAGGCAGTTTTGCACCTCGCGGGTTCTGGGTTTTTTGGTGTGTGTGTGTGTGTGTGTGTGTGTGTGTGTGTGTGTGTGTGTGTGTGTGTGTGTTTTGGTGTGGGGGTGTGTGTGTGTGTGTGTGTGTGTGTGTGTGTGTTTCTTAAATAGGCAAAACCAGGTGAGGAATTTACAGAGAGCAGGTGTGGGATGCGAGCGGATGCTGGGTGCTAGGAAGCCCACTTCTGGTCTCAGCAGGAGACAGGGGCGAGGAGTTTGAACTTTATTTCCTTGGCAAATAGCATCCTCAGCCCGGGGCTAGACGGGGGTGGTCGGATGGGGGAGGGGACGTTGAAAGCAGAAGTCGGAGGAGGAAGGAGGAAAAAAAAACCAATGGGAGGAGTGCTAAGAAACCCGTTGGATTTGGGGCGGGGGGTGGCGGTGGTGGCGGGTGGAGAATAAGGAAGACTCGGGGGGAAATTTTTTTTTAAATAAATAAATAAATAAGGAAGAAATTAAAAAAAAAAAAGAATAATAAAACGATGCCTGGTCTTTTCCAGGAGTCAAGCAGCAAGCTCTTCTTCACTACTCACGAGCGATTTCTTTCTTCTCTCCTCACCCTTTGCCCCCTATTCCCAGAGAAGAAAACCTCGGGGTCCTGGTTTCTCGCCGTGTGACGTTCCTGACCCGCTAGTCCGGGTTATTTATAGCAGGGGGGGGGGGGGCGAGGAGAGCAGAAAGGAACCGCTGCCTCTCCAGGTTTCAGTCTGATCCTGCAGTGGGAAATTATTAGTGGGTAGGGTGGGGCTCGGATGAGGGGGAGAGGGGACATGGAAAACGGAGGGATGCGGGGGACAAGCCCCCTCGCTCTGGTTCCGGGGACAGGAGGGCGTGGGC